ACTCAGTTATGTAAAATCCTTCATAGGTGCTGATCATATTCATGACCTCTGCCGAAACTAGATCGAAAACACATTATGGGACGTCAATGCGCGCCGTACATACTTTATTCTCAGTAAAAAAAAACCACTGTGCAAACCCCATAAACCCGCTTTTAACCACACCAGGTTACCTTGATCTACCACGCTGTGGTTTAATGCCGAAATCAGGTTTGAAGCAGCGATTCGGCGAACACGAAAATTGCGACTGTTTAGTTATGCAAATCTAGAAAAACACACATAACTGGTCTCTCGTGATGTCCAAAGATGAACACATGGCCAACAAGAACCAGAATTACTTGACTGGAGATGAGAAATTTCATTGTTTCCTTCGGGGTTTACCGTCATTATTCAGCAAAAGACGCTCTGAGCATGACAACGCTTTTATGATCATCAATCAGCTTTACTTTTTCCTAGAGCGAAGGCGAGCAGGCTAAGAGCATGACGATGCGAAGGAATCCACAGCAGATTGTCTAGATACTGAAGCAACCAGTTGCTTCAGTAAACGTTTGCCAAAGAAAGATCAGCACTGAGAGCATGACAATGCGGCCTGCGATAGTAAACAATGTTGGGTTTGAATATCAATTGTTGATGGTGCTGGTTGAATATTAAACAATTGCTTAGTTGAGTTGAGTTACGCAAGAATGGATTATTGGCAGATAATCGTCGAGTGTGTTTCCTGGTGATTCGCAAATCGAATCCTTTCTCTTCTTCACGGTCAGTTTTTGTGGGATTTTGAGCGGAAAACAAAACCACAGCAACAGTTTACTTATTAAACAATCTTTATTACCATCATATAAAAACAATTGGAATTCGGAATGCGTTCACAAAAGGGTTTTTTCTACACAGCACTCTACAGGCGTACGCCGAAATTTGATTAATTATATTTCTATATAAATACATATTTAAGTTCGTGTGTGTAGGTATATATGTATATATATATATATAGATAGATATGTTACATAATGGCCGTCGTGAAAGTCGCAACGACGTAGACTTACCGATTACCACCGACAATGGATTAACAGTCTAAGCTTATTCGAGGATAATTTATTACAAAAATACAACAACAATTCGATCACGCATGCAGTCATCATTGACATAATAAATATAAAATAAGATCACTTTGCCTTCGATTATCGGCGCTCGATTTGATACCACTTTCATTGTTCTTGCACTTAGAGGATAGGATTGACTTAGAAAATACCGTCTCCAGTGGGATCGCTCAACCATGGGTAGTTATTCGGACATCTGACGCAAGTCTGCAGATTGATGGTCTCCCCGGGCACCTCCTTGGAGGTGAGCTTGCAGCTGTGGGGCACCCAACAGGCTGGAGGGCCTTCAACGACGCACTTCTCCCTCCAGGGCTCGAAGTTCTTCGCCTCGGTCACGGTCCTCGGGTTCTGGATCCATTGGATCACTTGCGTCATGGTGACGAAGTAGACGTCGTTGCGGTTGGCCAGGATTTCGTCCACCCAGTAGAGGAAAGCGTCCAGGAACTCCGGGTTGTTCTTCAACCAGGCGGCGTGGAAGTAGAGGCCGAGTGGGGCGCGGTTCTCTTCGTAGTGGCGGTCGAAGTTGTGGTTCAGGAAGTTGTAGAATTGGTCCCCAGTCAGGATGTTCGAGCAGGAATCGACCATGGCACATCCGGGCAGATACTCGTCATTGGTGGGATCTTCCCTGCGGTCCAGCTCGTTCAGAACCATTTCCCACACGGCGTGGGATCGAGTGGGGCAGCTTTGCAAATTTCCGTGGCATCGATGGGGCATCCGGAAGTACATGGTGTAGGGCCACAGGGGCGGGTTGTTCAATGGGGCGGTGATGGTGGAGTCGTACAGGAAGGCCTCCTCCTCCATCATGGTGAACTGGTTGTTGCCGCCTACTCTCAAGTAGGGCGCCCGCACTCCCACCACGCTGTTATCGGTGATGTTCGCGTATTTTTCGGTGATTATTCGCTGCCCGCCCATTTCCTTCACCCAGTCATTCACGCTGGCATTGGACCAGAAATGCTCATCATCATTGTGCCTGCAACAGAAGCATTTGATCAGCTAAGCGAAAGCCATTCTGCTGCAATCAAGCGAAGAAAGTGCCTGCACGTTTACGCGAAGTAAAGGCTATCGGCTGCTAATTGGTATTCAGTCAGCAATCCTGCTACCGCTAGGGAATGATTAACTAACTAAGGCTGCGACCTCCAGGCTGCATTTCCTGCATCTACAGGGCGACCCAAAGCGGTGCTGGTCACCTTCTAGGAACCTTCGAAAGTATAGCAATAAGGCCGATCAGAACACGTCCAGACTATCAATAGTGTTGAAAAGTTGGGATTTTGTTGGTGTTTTCAGTGGGCACACTTGAACTTTTCGCGCTGCCACACTTGCTTGAGTTGAGTAAGTTTGCGTCTAGATTATTATTGGTGGGACTCTTTAAGCTCTTCTAGATAGCAATTGAGCCTCGTCGACTATGAAAAGCTGGGCGATAATTGAGATGTTTCCCCAGTTCCTTAACTCTAAAACAGCGTTAGTTAAAAAATTCGCAACTGGAAAACTAAGCAAGCTGGAGGAAAAACCTTTGAACTGTTTAGTTGAGCGATTTGCGTAGAAAAATTGGGAAATTAATAGCAAGTTTGCCCGATTTTTAATAAATTTTCTAGCAGATATTGGCGCTTAAGACTATTTTATTTCAAAAAACTCAAAAACTTACCAGTTCTGAACATGCACACAGAACGCTTAATCAGTGCGATTGAGGCTTTTTTGTTCGACAAACTAGGGGATTAATGGCGAATTTTTAAAATTATGAAACTACTTTTATTTCAAAAGCTTGTAGGTAAAAGTCTCTTATTCGCCTCTAGAAGAGTAACTTCAATGGAGCAATTCAGGCTCTCTGAGGAGAAAAATTGGAAAATTTATTGTAATTTGGACTGATTTTACTTCAAGAACGATTTTACCTCAAAAAAATCTGCAGCTTAGAAACCAAACGGTTTGAAGAAAAGGTAGCTAAACTCTTCAATAGAGCGAGCGGTTGTGGCCTTTAATTGGGAAAATTGAAGAGTGAACTGCAATTTTTCCTAATTTTGCTAAATTTTCAATTAGGAATTGACACTTTTAGAAAAATGGCCCGTGAAAAAATTTAAACTTTGAATCCAACCAAACTGGAACAACACTCTAAACCTTCCAATAGAGCAATTAAGGCTTTGTCAGTCGCAAGGAGAAATTGAGTTCGACTCTTTCGTACATTTGACGAATTTTTTAAATTAAAAGACGCCTTTTATGAAAAAATGTAAAACTTCGAATCAAAACAAGTTTGAAAAAGAAGTTTTTAAACCTTAAATAGAGCCAGTGACGCTATTTTAGTAAAAAAATTGTAAAATGAGCCGCGATTTGGCCCGATTTCAAAACAAATCAATCAGACTTTCGGGATTAAGATCGTTTCATTTTAAAAAAATAGTAATTCGGAAACCAAACACGCTGAACGAAACCAGTGTAAATAATCCAATAGAGCGATTGAGGTTCTTTTCGCGAAAAATTTGGGAAATGAGTTCCATTGCTTCTCAAATTTTTACAAACTTTTTAAAAAATGTTCAACTATAAAAACGAAAAAACTGAGACAAGGAGTTATTTAAGCTTCAATAGAACTAAATGAAGCTCGTTTGGAAATAAAATCGCGATTTCGCGCCGTTCAAAAAATTATCCAACACTGGCACTTAAGACTCTTTG